ACCTGAATCCCTATCCAGCCCTCCCACTCCCGCTGCACCAGCGCCAGGGAAAAGGCCGAGAGGACGCCCGCGCGGCAGCAGAACCTCCCGTGGTCCCCTAAGAAATGAAGCCCCCTCACAACAACGCTACGCCCTTAGAACCCGGAGCCGCAATATACCACACGAGTGAGCCTGATAGAATAACTGTAATAGCACTTCCAGATCTTATCCTTGTTTTCTCTAGAGGCCATGAAATGGCATTTTCAGTTTCCTTTTGTTATTTGAAGTTCCTTTTTCGGTTGATCCTTTTCTTTTTTTTTTTTTGTTGTTTTGTTGGAGATTAAACATTGTAACTAGCCAAAAACCTGGAGTACCTATTTCACCCTACCCTACTCCCACCTAAACCCTAGTCGATCCTCTCGTCCCTGTCAGTGCCTTTCTCCCCTCCTTCCCTCCCCCGTATGAATGACCGCTCAAGCACCCTATTTGGATAGTGCTTTCGTCTAAGCGGGAGGGAGTTTGTAACAAAAATGTTACTACAGACTCCCCTCCGCCTCCTGGCTCGAGGTCCCACAGGCCTCGGGTATTGCGTTTTATAGTTAGTATTGTTAATCGAGAGTATTTAGTGTTCTAGGTTTGTTATAACTAGTCCTAAGATCCCCCCTCCCGATCACCCTTCCCATCCTGTCCCCATTCCCCCGTAGGGCACTGGCTCGAGGACCAATTTCGAGGACCAATAACAAGCACCTGCATCGAGGACATCGTCGTGGACCTGCCACGAGGACACAGCATCCCTGGATGGACCGAGAGAGCGGCTACGTCGCCGAGGCAGCGGAAGGCAGGGATGGCATGGGCAGGAAAGACAGCTGATCGAGTCGCTCATGGGATGGATGCCCAGCCACCACCATCACCACCAATATATGCAGCCCCGGTGCAGTCCCGTCACACGGGCAGGAAAAAGTCCCGGCACGCGCGCCGGCTAAGCCAGCACCGTGCCGCCGCCGCGAGGCCCTGGAAGGCCCGGGAGTCCAAGAGATGTCAAACCGACCAATGCCAAAGCGCGTAGCCCTCTCAGCTGAGCAGCCCAACCAATCCCCGAGTCCCGGGAGGCCTGTGAACGGCAACAGCGAGGACCGGAAATCGGCAAGAGATCGACACTTCGAGCCAGGATATCGTTGCGGTCGTACGCAAATTGTGTGTGTTGCGAAAGTGAGTGAGAAGTGTGACCATTGGGATTATTGTACCTTGTTGGATTACAGTGTGAAGAGCGTACTGAGTGAGTACCTTGGAGTGATTGCGTTTTCCCTATATACCATCCCTGCCCTAGCACCCCTTTATTAGCTGCTTAGTAGAGTCGTAGGTCCCTTCAGGACATAGCGAGCCGTCCCCACGTGGGCCGGCATTCTAGTGATTCTTTTTGCATTTGCGACGGGCCTTCCGCTTGCCATTAACGACCGCTGCTGTTGACCTTGCGCTCGAGGCCCGTGGTGTATTGCGTGCGTCCTAGTTTAAGTATTGTTGCATCCCTCTGGCGAAACCCTCCGTACCCTCCTTCTTTCCCCCACCTGCCCCCTTTGCACACCGTAACCGACGTAATTTTCAAGTAGCCATATTCGCGTTTGGGAACCTTCCTCCCTGAGACCCCCTCACCTCTCTCTCCGCTAGCCTAGCCATATCCCGTCGAGCAAACAAGCGAAGACCTTTCGGGGTCACTCGTCGGTGCTACACCGTTATAGTAGCTGGCGCCCATCCTTTGTTAGAGCTTGATTCCTCAGTTGATCCTTTTCCGCTAGCCCCTCCGTTCCCGTTACCCCTTGCCCATCGTGAATCCCTCCCCTTCCCTCTGGCCCGGTTAACGGATTGATTGAAAATGATTGATTGAACGTAGAATAGACTCGCAGCTGCTCTCCCAGTACTGTCTGAGACAAAAGTATAGAACTGACTGAAGCTGGAACATATAAACTGTTTGTAATTCATATGGCTTTAATTGAATGACCAACTCTAACTAAATGTTTGCGCTTCGATTCAAACCTTATAGATCAAACTCGGCCAAGAGATATAAATTTCATCAAAATAATTTTACTTTCATACCATACCCTCGTATCCATTTCTCGGCCAATCACAGCCTCTGATGTCAGTCTGTACCTGTACGATTTTTCATACGAAGTGCGTTAATAAATGACCACCATACGTTGAAATTGGACTATTTATCATTAGCGCACCTTTCTGATTAAGATTAAGACCTCCTAAAGGAAAATCGGTCCCGAAATATCGACCGTAAGTTTATGCCCCAATATGTCCGATTCCTTGTTCGTTGATTTTAGGTTTTTTTTTTTTGGCGAAACTAAGGACCACCAAATGTTTTAATTATGATATTCGTGACCACCAAACGATTTCCCATGGAGACTAGAGTAAAGAAGGCCGAACGCAATACTTTGCATGTGGTCCCGAAACGGTGTACAGCGTGTACAGTAACGTCAGTTGCACATCATGGGGGCGCTGTAGTCAAACGATCTAGAGAAAGACGGACAGAGAAGTGAAAGAGACCGAGATAACTTTGTTATATACACGCCTTCTAGCGGGAATTATGAAGAGAATTTTTTGCTTACAAATAAGCTATTTTATATTGTTATATGTGTATTGTCGGCAATAAAAAAATAATAATAATATATTTTCATGACGCGAAATACAATAATAAGATATTACAATTGTAACGCTTTTATGCGATTATGTGATGATCTCCGAAGTGTGATAGGATATTGTGAAATTATTATTGCCCGATAGATTGGTAGTAAAATTATGTCGATATCTTTTTGATGCCTTAATGGGTTCCAAATATCCGTTTGGAAGGTACCTATTTATTATTGTGTTGAAGTTATCTTTTAGAACAGTTATTAGCTTATAGGTAACTTCCAGACGAATATTTGGTACTCATTTAGTTCACTTTTGAATAACTTTCTGGGTTGTGCTACTTGAAAATAACGAGAGATTAGAGATGTCAGTTCTTTATTACAGTAGGACCTCGATTTTATGGACAAGTCGGGACCGGAAGTCCACAGAATCGAGGTTCCCTAAGCTCCACCCCTACAATGCGTATAGCCACTCGCGCGCTTGTGGACAGTACCGTATCATATGGTCGTGGCATCCCTTCAATTATAAACTATAAACGGGCCCGGATGGCTGCCGACACTAGAGTGTAGTTACGGTACTGGCTGGGGGAGCGTACATGCGCCCCACTCTATAAAGTGTTAGCAAGAAAGTGGGGTTTGTCCATAAAATCGAGGTCCTACTGTATTTAGAATGTTATAAATACATTTTATAAACATTAATGACAACTGTTATCATATTAAAACAATAAAATATTGTTGCTGTGGTGACCGATTTTCCCAAACACTTATATGAAACTATCCTGAACGCCAGTTTCTACCTTAATGCATAATAATAAACACTTTTGTATAATACACATTGGCCCTTACTCATAACTCTTTTTTAGCGTTAAGAGACGTCTATTAGTCGTTAAAAGACAACAGATAGCAGTCGATAAAATACGTCTCTTAACGCTAAAAGAGAGGTATGATTAAGGGCCATTGTGTTTAGAGAACGTGCAGACATTGATAATAATTCAATTATAATTTCTCCCATTTGAGTGTCGGGTCAATCGTGATCACTTCATTCCATTGCTTTCCATTCTTTAGCTCCTTCATGCAAATACTGAATTTCTAGTAAAATATTTGCTTCATTTTTGGCTTGCAGTACTCAATCAAGTCAGCCAGGGTTCCCTAGTACGTGCAATTCAGCAGATATCCTTCCATGCCTATAAGCTGACAACAGAAATACGGTGTTACGTATATCGACCTTCATTCCGAAACAGAAGAATAACGTAGCCGATAGGAAGCATAATTGCAGACTCAGCACGTTGCCCAGTGCATTGCCCGTACCACCTACCCAGCTGGTTAGTCGAGTGCATTCCTAACGTCCTAACCGTACCTAGAGCATCAGCAAAAATCGACTATATAAGCAGCCAAAATCATGGCACAGATGCTCAGAAAATCATTCAGTTTCATGCGTAAAAGATCGGACTGCACGTTGTCACTCGTGGCTCTAACCGTTAGAGTATTAGATTCAGCGTAATATTCGCAATCTGGCCTAGGTACGGATTCGTTATTACATACCCTAGGGAACAAGCTGGATCGGTTACCGGGCAAAATTGAGCTGCATAGACTAGTCTTTCCAAATATCGCATAGATTTGATAAATTTCTGTTCCACCAAATTTCTTCTTGCCTTAACCTCACACACAGTCAGGTTTTGTTATCCGATTTCACAATATTTCTCATAATCGAAACACTGTACACGACAATTAATTGACGAAACACTGTACACGACAATTAATTAAATTTCTTCTTGCCTTAACCTCACACACAGTCAGGTTTTGTTATCCGATTTCACAATATTTCTCATAATCGAAACACTGTACACGACAATTAATTGAAAACTTCTAAATTGGTTGTAACAATATATCGTAAATTCACATTTTACTCGCGTTTTAAATATCTATTACCCATCCTCAACATTTCAGAGAATATCTATCCACGTTGGAATAGCAAGGCGTGTTTCAACACCTTAAACGAGCAGCAAACCCACCATTGAGTGCATTCTTACCGCTCGGAATTCACTCAAATATTATTCACGTTACCTCCGGTTGTTCCTTTTCTTTTGGTTACTTCTAAATTTTTGTTATCAAATTTAAAGGCCTCGCTAGCCACTACGGCTACGTAACAACGAAAAAAATACACGTTAGCAAACGATTTTTGTTTCTCAATCGAATGACACCAGTACCATTAAAATCAAATCGCTTCTTTACGATAAAGAACTAAATAAAAAATCGTAAATAAAATAAATAAAAATTTCAAAATAGGTGTCATAATTTCTAAAATATGATATATCGTTTCTCGATCTAAACCATATAAAATGAAATGATTTCACTGTAATTAATAATAGTTTATTCCTGATATATGTGAGACTCACTTTTGACATTTAAAGAATTGCAGAAGATAAGAATCAATGTCGACCCTGTGCTATCAGTTTCATCATTTGATCATACGTCATTCAGAGGGATAATTCCATTGTCCTTGATTGTTAGTGATCGTTTTGTGGCAGATGTCACTTTCACTGTGTAGAATAAGACTGAAAAATATCAACGATTACATTCGGCAATTGATAGCTAAAGAATCCTATGAATGTTTCTATCTTAACCTCGTTGAAGTGTTCCGACATACCTGAAATAATCTCGACACGTTGGCAGCTCGTACATCTCGCTGTTGCCTTCCTCAAAATTTTCAATTTTCTCATCGCGATTTCGTTCTCTTCCTTTCTCTCTTCTTGGATGTTCGGTCGCTCTCGCTTCCATCGCTGTAGCCTATCAGCTATTCGAACTTCGGACGAAAAAAAAAACGTGTTTTTGCACACAACTCTGCTTTTTCAACCTCACTAGCCTTTCTTACTCGGTTTTTTCAAACCATTCTTCGTTCACTTCACTTGTAACACCAATTGTCAACTTCACTTCGGTCGCCTGACTAGAGCGACGCTTATGGTAAATCTTTAAAACTTACCGGTACGCGATTCTTGAACCAATAATTCGGCATTTTTCCGTATACGTTCGGCGTCCTGTACTCTAGTCTCCATGCGATTTCCAATCGGAAAAAATAAATTGTTCGGCTAACTTCACGGGTAAAGTTTGATCCCCAAAAAGCACTTACGTGTAAAAAAACTACGCCAAGTACAGGAGTGTTGTGTATTCCTCTAATAAAAAGTATTGATATCAGATTATTGAGGCCAAGTACATAAGTCACTACATGTTCGCTTATTATATGATCTAGTACTAGCCCATCATTTTAATTGTATTTTTAAAATTTCCTGTAACGTTTTCACTACTCTTTTACATTAGCTTCTCGTAGTTGATTATGATTTAATGGTTATTTAATAATTAATAAAACTTTAGCTGATACCTTATCGAGTACTACTTGGCGGGTCCGTGCATTTCTTGACATAAATTTGCGTTCATTATGCCAGTCATCAAACTCAAAACCAATGTCAACTTTCTATATAGAGCTTATTAACAATAACTCGTGAATAATAATTACGGTAAAAGCTTAATAACAAACATATAGTTTTAGGATACTATTAGTACGTTCAAAGTAGTACTCGATAAGGAATCAGCTAAAGTTTTATTAATTATTAAATAACCATTAAATCATAATCAACTACGAGAAGCTAATGTAAAAGAGTAGTGAAAACGTTACAGGAAATTTTGAAAATGCAATCAAAATGATGGGCTAGTACTAGATCATATAATAGGCAAACATGTAGTGACTTATGTACTTGGCCTCAATAATCTGACATCAATACTTTTTATTAGAGGAATACACAGCACTCCAGTACTTGGCGTAGTTTTTCACACGTAAGTGTTTTTTGGGGGATATCACAAGTTTTTGTTGCTCAACGGGACATAGAAGCTCTAAGCACTGAAATCTATATTGTCACAGATATAAA